CAAGAAAAGCTGGCATTCTCTGATGATATTAAAAAGTCTCTATGCATCTATTAATCACTACGAGTCAAGTACGTGATACCAATCACTGTTCTTTTTAACAACTCTGTAAAGCAAACTTTTGAGAGATAGGTGATGGCAATCTGCCACCAGTTCCCAAAAAGAGTGCCTGCTTTCAGTCACATCCCTGTATCGACACTTTGAATAAGTCAACAAATGTTTCAGCACCAAAACAACGGTGGCACAATGTTCCACATTCCTTATGTAGAAAATATTCTCACAGGCATCCATAGGACTTCTGGAATTAATGCAAAACGAAATCTCAAGCAAACATGTTTTGCAACCCCAAATATAGTGAGTTTAGAAATAGTTGGTGAAAAACTGCTCAAGCTCGAATTTTTTTTGCCTCAAAGTGCATGTATCAACCTGTGGGCTGAAAGGAGTGGGTGACTAGAACATGGCTAAGTTAAAATTGCACCTCATCACAAACAAGCCTCACTATTTAATAAGGATGCACTTCAGAACCCCTCTCCAAAGCAATACCAACCGCGAAGATCTGTGCTACAGAAAGAACCTATTTTAAAGCCCAGCAGTCAAAGCAGTGAGTGAATTGAGATGTGCTGCAATATTTATGCAGCCATTATAATGCAAATGCGGAAGGTATTAGAAAGGCTATTTGCATTGGTGCACAGCCCCTTCAGTCTGCGCACAAAGCCGAGAGAAAGAACAATTAGGATGCATGCATAACAAAAAGCCTCCGAGCACAGGGCAGGCAGGTCCACTGAACCGGATACAATATCTACGGGATCAACAGGGCTCCATGGAAATACTGTCTGCTGGATCACACCGTACCTCTTGCTCATACTTAGAATATGAAGCGTCCTTGGGCACAAAAGCACGCAGAGGATTAGCACAGCAAAGGTGAGAGCAAGCTACAACCAATTTAATGCGAGCACCAGCCTCATGTCTCACAAGAGAGCAACTGGGCTGGAGCACAGCTCCATCCCCAGGGCTGCTCCTCTCGGCAAAACCCCACCACCACTAACACATAGCAGCAAACTTTCAACTGGGCTAAAAAATAATAATAAAAAACGGGTACATACTTTCCTGTGGAAAAAAAAAAAAAAAAAAAAAAAAAAAAAAAAAAAAAAAAACCGGGAAAACATTTCCCGTGGAAAAAAAAAAAAAAAAAGAAAAAAGAAAAAAAAAAGAAAAAAGAAAAAAAAAAGAAAAAAAAAGAAAAAAAAAAGAAAAAAAAAGCTCTCCAGCTCTGGTTGAGACAGAAAGGGAGGCAGGCATGCAAACCAGGATCTAATGCACATCCACTCTGAGAACAGACTCCACTTTTGTAGAGAAAGCAAAAAGCAAACTAATAAACTCAAGTAATTCCTTTTTATTTTTCCAACGTGTACACCTTAATGGTAAAACAATACTAAAACAACCAAGTATACAGGCAAGCCAGATTGTTTTAAGAAGTTCTTTGACCGTACATCCTAATATTTATCTACACCAATTCACAGCCTCTTAATATATCCTCACACCAGTCAGCGTGTCTGCAATTATTTGATGGGCTCTGTTTTCTCATTTCTCTTGTACAGCAATACAGATAAAGTACTTCTTAAACTGCGACAATCTTAAAACAGTCTAAAATTACCACGCGGCACAAACTTACTTTTTAAAAGAAATTATAAACTGTCCATAATTTCTATACAAAAGATACATTACCTGGATGTTAATGATGGAAAAAAAATCTTAGTAATTAAAATTCCCTTTTCATCCTCGGTATATTGAAAATGTCTTTATTGAACCAAATTTGTGTTGGAGAATTCCCAGATTTATAATAGTACGTGATGTGTCTTTCACAACAGAGTCAAGGCAAAGCAATGCAGCAAAAAACAAGCAAATTAAGGTCAACGGCTAATACTGCAAACATTACCATGCTTATTATAACAACCTGTTACATTTTATCCCGGTCCATTTTGTAATACAGCAAGACCACTGTATCAAACAGACCGGACTAGGTCAGCCAGTACGGTTCCCACGAAAAACGAGAGTTCTTTCTATCTGTACCATCAGTTGTAACTAGCTTTTTAATCTTCACTGCTCTGTCCTCCCCAGCCCTCTCACACACACACAAACCCACCAAAAAGTCAGAGGCAGAAATATCTCCTCTGAGATGAAGTTGCATACAGTTAAAATAAATACAAGGTATTACGACAACAGAACAGAAAGCAAGCCTTCAATTAAAAGAGCATCCACTGAAAAATAAAACCAAAAGCAATGAGCCTCGAAGCGTTCTGGGTGGGAAATGCCACTGGCCATGCTAAACGGGAGGGTATGGCGGGCTGGACATGAGGGTATGGCACCAGCTTTTCCTGCCCCAGGAACAGCACAGACACCCCAAACCCAGGTGCTGAGGAGGGAAGGGGCAAGGTGGGAAGGGACAACACTGTCCTCCCCTCCCAGGCAGAGAAGTTTTCATCTTCCTTCAGACACAAAGGCGAACCTGTTCCTTAGGGAGACGCAGCTCCTTCCCAGCACCCACCCAAATTCTCCACAGTGGTATTTTGGAACCACTGAGGTCTCTCAAAGGCAGTTTAATTTTCTTGCTACCATACTAAACCTTCCCAAAACAGAGCTTTGTTATTCACTGGGCTTCCTCAGCCTTGTCAAGAAGGGACCGCAGAACATGATCCTTATTGCAAAGCAGAAGATGCTTTGACAGCCCAAATTCAATTACCATGCACGAGCACCATGCCCACATGCAAACACCTACATCCACCCATCTCACGGGTGCCGGACACAGGTCAGCAGCTGCCAGCTCGCACGGTGACAAGCCAGGACTGCCACACACACGCTGCTCCAGCAGTAACAAGCTTTTCTAGAAAGCCACAGCCAAGTCACAATCAATCCAAGGGCTTCCTAAAAGGCATACGCACAGCAGAGATCTTGCAAGGAATTAATTTCTGTACATAGGCTAACAGCGCAGGAAGACAGCTGGAGAAAATATTCCTCGTCTGAAGGAATCCCTTCAATCACACAAAATTCCTGGAGGAGAATACACCAGTCAGTGAGATTTAAGTGTCAACATAACAAAGGAACGCCCCTCCCAGCACCTCCTGCCTTACAGATATGCCACGCTGCACCGGGAACAGCAGCTACTCACAACCAGAACTGCTCATCGACCCTCCCTTGCCATCACCACAAACAAAAAAATGCTGGGGATTGTTTCTAGAAAGAGCAGATACAGGGACGTGGAAGAAGTCAGCATCCTCTTTGAGGATTCTTCAGTATTCCTTAAAGGAAGGCTGTGGACACAAGGAGAGCTTTGTCTGGAATCATCTTTGTGTACTTCAAGGTTACATATAAAATTAGTTTTGCCTAATATACATGCTTTGCCTTGCCACATGTACAAAAATGGCTAAAAACAGCTTAAAATTAAAGGAATACAGCTTCAAATTAGTAAAATAATCTCCCATTTTACTCATCCAGAGCAAAGAATAATTACATAGAAAAACAAAATAGCAAAATCCGAAACATTCAAGGGGAATTAAAACGATAAGGGTGTTACTAAAATTAAAATGTATGCACAGTAGTGTAATAATAAATTCATAAGATACTGTAAAGCTTTCCCAAAACCAGACTAGGTTTATATCAAGATCACCATACAACATATGCCTGAAATATGTCTGTAAATAAGTGTGATTTAATTTGACCACCACCTACTTTAAGCCCTTGATTTTATAAATAGAAGTATATCATAAAGACTAGCGATTAAAAAAAAAACAAAAAACAAACCAACACACACAGCTAAGAAAGTAAAAAGAACACTATATAAAGTCAAACATGCAAACAAGAAATACTAGAAAATTAAGACCCTGAAGGTAATTACTGAAACCATCTTAATTTCTATTCTAGTAGTCAAAAAAAATCCCCACCAAGTACTGCAGCAATGACAATACACAAAATTACAACTCCTTGATCATGAATATTCTGCCTCAAAAGTCTGCACATGTGCAGATCTCAACGTTTCCACAGTCCCATCTCAAAAACACAACTTAAAAATTACCAGCGCTATTTCAGCACTTCGCAATTGTTTTCTCACACGCTGTGACTTTTTATTCCATGTCCATACCTGCTCCTAAATAGGATGGACAAGTGAGGCAGCAACACAGTTTCACCAAACTTCAGCTCTGCTGAATTGCTGTGTAGCTCACGCCCAGTCGCAATTTTAGTCAACGCGGCCGTTCACCTTACTAAGGTTACTACAGCTTTTGAAGCATTTCCTAGAGAAAGACACGAACAACTCGGTGAAGACGCCTTCTACAGCCACAAATACACGCGGGAAGCTGTCACACAGCTTTTGTCTATCACACCTCTCTGCTTTAAATACCGGGACAATCACCTGGCTAGACAGGAAGGCGACGACTTTTGAAACCGGGTTCTGTCTCCGTGGCTCCATCAGAACCGCCACAATAAATACATCGAAACAGGAAAAGAGCCTCACGCCTGTGCGAGAGGGTGGGGGACCGCACTGACACGGGCAGAGGCAGCTGCAATCATTACCCGCACGCCGGTAATCATTACCCTGAGCGCCACTGCCACTACACACACACCAGTTCGCTTCGATTCCTCAGTGCCAGCTCTCGGCACCGGGAGCTGGCGGGGAGGAGGAGAGGTGAGGCTGTAAGACGGAGCTTCCTCCTTTCTTTTTGTTGTTATTGTTGTTGTTGTGGCGGTCGCTGCCATCGCCCGGCAGCCCCTCGGCCGAGCCCCGCGGGGTCGATGGCCGCCCCCGGCCCGGCCCAGCCCGCCCCACCTGCGCCGGGCCCCGCGGACCGGGCGGGGCGGCCCCGCCGGGGCGGGCACGGGCTCCCCGCCGGCCGCCCCCACCTGCGCCCCGGCCCTCCCCGCCTTTGTGCCCGCGGCCTCCCGCCGCCCCCGGCCGCCGCCCGCTGTCAGCTGCCGCCCGGCCGAGCCCCCCCGGCCCGCCCGCCTCGTACCGTGCGTCTCCGCCATCCTCCCGCGGCGCGCTCGGCCCCCGCTCCGCGCCCGGCCCTGCCCTGCCGGCCACCGTCTGTGCGCACCGAGCCGTCACGGGACCGCCCGCCCACGGCCCTCCCGCGGCACTCGGGGCGGGCCCGCCGAGCGCGGACACCGAGCGCTTCCAGGTTACGGCGGAAGCGCCGCGTCGCCCGTGGCGACGGCGGGAGCGGGGCCGAGCGGGGCCGGGAGCTCCCGCAGCCAGGGCAGGCTCCCCGCGGGGCTCGGGCAGGGCTCCCCTGCGCTGTCCCGGCGCCGATCGCGGCTCCCGTGGGTGGGTCCCCGGCCCCGCACGCCCCGTTGAAAGCTGCCGGCATGTCCCCGGGTGAGGAGGGCAGCCCGTAGCTCCGTAGGTGACCCACCGCAATTCATTAAAGTTTTAGAACAAACAGGACGTGTTTTCCTGCCGTTCCAACAGCCGAGCTGGCCCCCAGCGCAGGCAGGACCAGGAATGCCGGTGGGATGGGTTGGTGTGGAGCAGCTCCCCTCAGTGCTGGGCGCTCGGGCACAACCGCCCGCTCTCGCTGCACGGCGCCTTCAGGGCTGAGACACCGCCGGGAAAATGAACGTGGGACCGCGACATTCCCGTGTCTCCTTTTTCGACAAAATCGGGACCGTCCCCAGCTGGCAACTACTGTAACCTCGCACCAGTTTGCTGACACGTCTTTCTGTAGGACATATCTCAGGCTAAGTCCAACCAAGCTGCCTTTGCACGGGATACGAGGGAGCTGCAGGAAAGGGCAGCAGCCGTTCAGAGGGTGACAACCACACCTCTGTGTAGACAAACACACTCAAGTGTTACAGAGCACCTGCCATCAGTTGCCCTTTCATTTAGGATGGTCTTTAAAAGCAAGTTCTTTGACGACTTGTTTAAACAGATCTTTCAGTATTTTGCTGAGAAAGGTTTAGCTTTTTGATGCTAAGTTCTCAGGTGGTTGCAATCAGTTCCCTTTTAAGCCTAGATGGATTCTGCACTGCAGTAGTATCTCAACTTTATAACTTCTAAAATACGTTCAAATTAATAGGAGTCTACTAATTGATCTCAGTACTTGCTAGTCTGGACTGGTCCCACAGGTCACGTTCAGCAGCTACTTCAGCAGAATCAAAACCATGTGTAAATTTGGGAGCCATTTCCTACATCAGATAGTCAAATCTGAGAAACTGCTATTTCCACCAGATTTTTTACAACTTTTGGCAATCATCTGGGCTGGTTTCAGTGAAACAAGGCTATTCACATGTAATTATCAAATACCAAAATTCTGCCAATTGCCTTTGTGTGAGTCTTTGACAAACCAGACAGTTCAATGTGGTTATGTGGGCTTTTACTAGTAAATGCTGGACAGCATTAAAAGCAGAATCAGATTTTTGGCATATTGGATCACAAGACAGAAAGCAGTTGACATTTCCTAGTGACAATATTTCTTAAAATGACAGGATGTTTATTTGCTGTTATAAATCAGTAAAACTTCATTGTGGACAGTGCACGATCCTCTATAAGACATGGAAATATACACTTTGTCTTGAGCCTGAAAAAATGTTCCTTGTGTGACTTAACTGAACACAGTCATTTGCACTAAAAGACTGTAGTGTTGTAGGGAGGATCTGAATGTTTTGTTGGCAGTGTACCTTTACATTTCTCAGGCCCTTTGTGTGCAAAGTGTCACTGCTCAGTTGCCTTAGCACTGAAATATTTACAAAGGATACATGCTACATGTACTCTGGTTCTGTTAGAGTCTCTACTTCTGTTTCTACTTGCTTTGCTTTAAAAAAAATATTATTTGAAATCTAAAGAAATGTTAATTTATAATCAAAACCCCCTGATTTGTTCTGAAAAGCTGATATAAAGCAGAGCAGGACAATTGTCACCAGAGATAAATCAGCCAAGAAATTTGCACTGGTAACTCCACCCTTCTGCTGCAAATCCTTAAATATGTCATATGAGATTAGACTGATACTATGGTAATACTTGTGCCAACAATCAGAACTAACAGGCATTTTCGCAAAGGCAGAATTCATGCATGAAAAATTTGTTTTTAATCTGCCCAAATGGAGTAGTTAATTTTATACCCTCCTACTGGATGCTGGAAAGCTCAGCTCCAACCTACTCCCAGTCTCCATCAGCAATGTTTGTCCCCAGATCTCATTGGCACAAACTGTCCCAGAGCAGAAGGTGAATATAAGAGTTCACAATCCTTACAAGTATTAGTGAAGGGTCTCTCAGGATCAGGAGACTGCTGACAGTCCTGTATTTTGAACCTTGGTTCAAAACTGGTACTGTGACTACCTCTCCTTAAGACAGATCCACAGAGAGCAAGTCAGAGGTTCCTCGGTCTTTGTTGACCCAGAAGCCCCACAGGACTGTACAAGGACTATGAATTATTGCCATCCACACTGAAACGAGCCAGAGGAGAAATATAATTAAAGAGCATTTCATAACCTACATGGTTCTGAATTAAGGTTTCACTGGCAATTTCGTTTGGACATTGCCTAACTTTTAAAGGCTTGGCTTTGCAACATTCATAATGTTCCTGTAACACCTACAGCATTTCCTGTGCTCCTGAAAAGGACAGCTGTTGGTGCAGGATCATGCAGCATCACAGCACCTCTGTGAGCCACCAGCTGTGTGTCCCCACCCTTGTGTGTCCAGCACAGACTTCTGCCACTTTTACTGACAGAGAAGCAGAAGTGGACTGTTATCCTCCATCCAGACCAGCAGCAGAGGGGGATGAGTGTTGAAATTTGGATTATTCAGTGGATTCATAAGACCATTCCTAAGGCTATTTAGTATTTACACAGTTGTTTCAAGCATGTTTCTACAAAACAGTGTGATTTATTAGGAGCTAGCTCTTACACAATGAACTAAAATAAAGCAATTAATTAGTTAAGCTTGCTTAAGCCAACCACAAGATCAATCTAGCAACTTCAGAAGCATTTTTGACCAAATTCAAATACCTCTGATATATAGTCCCACTTGCCTTTTCTTAATTTAGTGGCTGCCAGACTAATGAATTGACCCTTTCTCCCTCGGTCATGTGGCCTTTTCATTACCTCCTCCCAACTGTAAAATTTTTGTCATCCAACTACCCAAAAGCCTGCTGTCCTCCCCCAGGCAGGCAGCTGCTGCTGCCTTGGCCAAGGACACTCAGCTCCAGTCGTTTCTGCTGCTGGGGCAGACAGCACAAGAGGCAAATTCTTTGCTGGCTGAGCCAACATGTAGACCAGCCTCAGGGAAGCTCTGTTCCGCTTCCAGCCCTGCAAGTCAGGATGTCCCAGCAAGCACAGCCTGTTGTGCCCCTTTCCACCCACATACCCCTCTACTCTGCCCCATGTAGGGCTGCTTCCCACATCTCTCCTCTGCTACCCTGTGCCCTCCCTGCTGTCTGTGCCCACCTCCACTCTCCACTTGTTCCTTCCCCAGTTTGTCCCTCCTTTCTTAATCTCCAACAGGGCCTCTAACTTTGGTTCCCCATGCCAGGTCCTAGTCCAGTCTCTTGTCTGGTTCTTCATGTCACTGCCTATCCACCTGACTTTCCACTCTCTTCATTCTTCTTTCCTTGTACTGAAGTTCTGTTGTGTCTTCTGTCTGCCCATTCCTTGCCAACCAGTCTCGACATAAAACTCTAATTCCCAGTTGTTCTTTTTTTCTTTCTGTATCTCAATCTCCCACTATCATGTCTCAAATCTCAAAATTTCATACTAGGTTTTACCTTCCTCTCATCTACACCTCAATCTATCCAGACTTTCCTGTCATTCCTTTCCCTTGAATTGTCAGTTTACCAGAAGTTTGGCTTCAGTTTCTTGGCCAAGGGTTGCAAAGGGTTTAGTTATTCTGGGGGAGAGAAGCATGTTTTGAAGGCTGATGGCACAACAAATCCCACCAAATTTTGTGAGCACCATACCCATCATGGAAATAGTGTATGCCTTTGTCATTCTTTTCTTTCCTCCCCTCTAATGGCACCTTGGCTCCACTGCCTTGATTATGAGTAGGCAAAAACTGGGAAGGTTGGACCACTTGGCAGGAGGGGAGAGAGGGGAGAGAGGGAGAGAGGATGGCACAGAAACCAAACCTGGAGGATGCACATGGAGAGTCAGAGCCCTTGTGAATGTCTAGAAGCTTGTACTCAATGTACTGGCTGTCACCAAGCTCTGTCCCATTGAAATCAGACTCTGACCCCCCAGAGCAAAAGCTTCTGCCTGGGGCAAGATGCCTTTGCAATACAAAGAAGGATGCAAAGAAGGGGAATCTCAAAATGTGGTTCTCTGTTGAAGGACTACAGTACAGTAAGATGGTGCTATTTTTACTGTCACTTCCTTTTGTATATTCAGAGCCAGGTCTGCTTACTTGAGTGACAAGAAATTATTTTTGCTTTTTTCTCCGATTGTTTTTACAAAGCAAATGTATGATAAAAGGACAGAGTACCTATGTTCTCAAAAACAAGCAGCACAATTTAGGATTTTAGAACTACCATGTAAAAACTAATTCTAGTCCTGCCAACTTCTACTTTCAACTCATTAGCCACCTATCCATATCTGTTAGCAATTTTTTAAACATGCTTCGTAGGTCTTACAAGAGCTCTTCCAGGTATAAAGACATGACATATCAGGACTGAAGCAGCACATCCAGAATATCATGCATGAAGTTATTTTCTTATTTATCTGAATGCACACAAATTTTTCCAGTATGTGCTGTGTCCTAACTGCCCCAAGGCCAGCAGTTCTTCAGTTTCTTTAGTGCAAGGGAAAACTGCAAATCCAGCAGGCTATCAAGCAAGCTAATCTTCAATTATACAAACAGAGAGTCAACCAGTTCAAACAATTTATCTTTCAAAGTCAACATGACAAACAACAGAAACAAGCAAGAGCTTTTTCATTCACAACAGACAATAAACTGTATTTGTTTTAATATAGCTATTCTAGACAGGATAGTAACAGCTGTTAGAAACTCCTATTTTTTTCTACAGTGAAAGGCAGGGCAAATTAAAGGCTTCAGTTGCCTGTACTTTGAAAAGGGAGAAAGGCCAGAATGAAAACTCCATAAA